CGACTCGTCTACTTTCACTATACTTGGCCACAGCCACCGTCCCTGCTCTCCGGCAAGTGGTGGACATCACGGATTACGGTTGTCGAACTCACATGCTCGGAATGCTAGTTTGTATGCTTTTGAATTAAATATACTTTGTTGCTTTTAGAGGACAAATATATCATGATTTCCGGCCGAGTGAAGGGTGACAATGCGTACATGACACTGTATCCTGCCGAACCTAAAGGCAAGCCAGTTGCTCTTATGTGGAGGACAGCTGACAAAAAATGTAAGTCGAATGGAAAGAATTCAATTTGTGAAGCACTTTTAAAACTTCAGTTAAGTCAACTTTATGCTAATCAGGCAAAAAATCCTGACTAGGGTTATTTTGAAAATTGTATTTAAGTTTACTATGTAGTATTCTACTTGATTTTTTAAAGCAACAGTTAAATGAAACCACACTGTTTCGACATATTTGCGATATTTTTAAATTTTAGGGAATGATTCATATGCTGTAAAACGTTTCTAAATTGCCTAATGATTTTGAAAGCTACGAACTGCTAGAAGTGAATTCAAGTTTTACAAACTGAATGCTGTGTCCATCCTGTTTGAGGAAAAGTGTGTTCTTGCCTATGGTTTGAGGAAGGAGTTGCATAGCTCTCATAGAATTTCATGGAGTACATATCAGTGGCAGCATTAATAAATTGACGGATGCAGTGTATTATGAATAAACAGCGCACAGTCGTAAAAATACTCAAAATTAGAAATTTTTTAAAACCAAACGAAACATTTCCTTTGAGGATAAATTTAAAGAAGGTGTAAGTTGCCATCAGATATATGCAAGAGAGGAGTTTTTCGTGCATGCTTTCCGTAAAATATATTTGAATTTATAAACGCAGTCAAAGTTTATGATAAAAATGCATACTATTTAACTAGCCATTTTTTATATAATCACCTTCTTCGCAGCGCTCAGAAAGAAGCCTATCACAGAGTTCGCATCCTAGCGTGAGTGGAAATATTTGAAATTGGGCGGCATGGTAAACAGTTTTGCAACCCTACTCAATGTAAGTTTGCGAGTGTTCACCTGTCTTTTTCAAATTGCGGAATGTTTCATGCAGCACTCGCCATACTGTATATGTGGTTACTGAACCTCGGATAATCCATAACCGCGATTTGGTATGACTTTCTGATGATGGCTCATGAGCCAAAAGTAACCATTCTTTGACTTTGTCGGTTCCACTCCATCATTATTTCGAGGTCGCTTTGTGACTGCCTGTGATTGTTCAAGCGGAAGCTTCCAGGCACAAGGGGAAGCATAGGTCCATAAATGCTACTAACCCCCTAATTCATGCCAAACCTCCGGCGTTTGAATGACCATCATTGTGACCGCGTGCCAACAGTGCACTTTGCATAAAATGACTCCTTAGTTTGGTATATATTTTTCTCATTGATTTTCACTGATCTCATAAACTCAAGTATAATTTATCGAAAACATGTACACAAATATTATTTTTGTACTCTTTTTGTATCAAACTACACCATGTTCAAAGTCCTCCCTTGAAGAAAGTGTATTTTCCCGTGTTAGAAATGTTTCTCATTGCGAGTCGTCTTCCGACCCTGAAATCTGCGTTTACAAAGCAACACATCTGTCATTTATGAGTGCTGCTTATAAATTGTATAATTTTGTCCACATATATTGCGACATGTCATGAAAATACTGCGACTTCTTCCCTAAAACATAGGTATATATTTAGGTTACATGAGACAGAATATATATATATATGTTTGTGTGTGTAATGGATGCATCAAACCAGAGGGAGATCGGAATGGTCATTTCTGGCTTGTTAGCCGTCATCGTGGCCAGTCATATATATATAGAT